GCTGCGGCTACAGAGAATGTGGAATCCCATTTGAGTTCATACAGCAAACAACAGCAAGTGCCCCGCGGTGACGCGCGCCACCCTCGAACATTTCTTTAACAGATTTACACATTTCTCAAAAATGTTTTTTTTTATGAGGCTGACAGGCCTGCCCAAATATGGCATTGGCTCTTCGGGCATTGCCCGGTTGGCCCGATGGCCAGTCCAGCCATGCTCTCTCGTCTTTTTCTGGTATCTCTCTGTTTTCTCTCTCTAGTCTCCCTCTGATCTCTCTCTCTGGGTCTCTCTGGTCACTCTCTGCTCTTTCTCTGGTCTCTGGTATCTCTCTACTTCTAAATGAGGACAAGTCTCCACAGAGAGAAGGACGCTGTGACCCAATTTCTGGCTCTACTTCTTGTTGACCCAGAATCCTCCTCTCATTTGGTGGCGTTAGACTGTTCATGTTGGAGCTCTTTAAAGCAGTGGTTTTAGGTCCATCCATGCTGACTGGACAAGCAAGTTCCCTGCCCTTCTGTCTGATTTCAAGTTACACACTGGTGCATGTCCTCTAAAGCTGGGGTTCCTAATTAACACGAGTCTGACCACAACACACTGTCTTAATCTCTATTGAAAAATGTTATATGTAAGAAAGAGCCCCATCAATCACTATTTCACTCTTTGGGCTGAGAGCTGAATGACTGAGTGAGGATGGTCAAAATCACATATGAAAACTGGTGACGTAAGCGAAAAGCATGAAGATTTCCATTGTTGGTGTTTGAAAGTCACGTCCCAGCTTTAAAACCCTCAGGCTCCAATGCTGGATATATATGTTGCTGAATTAGGTTTTAGAATCATTCAATTACAAATGTCACCTGCTGCTGGTTCAGGATTACAGTTGTCTTGTATTTCTCTGCTTCACTACGTGACATTGAAAAGAACACATTAGCATGTCATTGCATCTGCCCACTGGGACTCTGCTATGTGTGGATCTCTGACGTGATCACGCTGTGAGCTTCAATGGAAAAAGGGAAATGCATCAATTACAATAATAATAAACATTGATTATTAGTATAATCTATATGAATAATGATAATAAACATTGAAGATAAAAAATACATGAAAATTAAATCAAACAAGGAGGGTGTAATGCAGCTCGCGGAAATTCAATTTGGAAGACGTCAGCCAAAGCTACCCCCTCCAGGCGGCCTCGTATCCCCAGCCTATCGCACAGCAAACGCCCTCTTCCAATCAATCCGTGACGGCCAGTCCAGCCGCTTAAAAGCGGAGAAACTCCCACTTCACGGCCTTCTCGAAGCCTTGCAAAGAGTCGTTCTGGAGGAATCGCTTTTGTCTACTCACGCTTACTCGTGCGTGTCCCTGCTGTCCTCTGTCTTGCTGCGTTGTGGTCTGCTCCTCCTCCGCGTCGCTGCACCTGCTGCGGGTCTCGTGCTGTGGTCCGTGGGTCTTTGCCGCTCTCCTCCTTTGCGGGCTCTTTCTGCGGGTTCGCCGCTGCTCGTCTCGTCGCGGCCTGCTGCTGCATACGGCCGGTCTGGCCCGGTGCGGTGGGAGCCGTGCGCATCCCTGCCTCCTCGTGCCGATACGGTGTGGTCCCGTTGTGTTGTCCCTTGTCTTCTGGCGTTGTGGGTAAGTATGAGATCTGCGGACGGTTTATTCCCCTCGCATTGTACTGCAGGCTCAGTTGGCCCCGTGCATTGGTGGGCAAGCTCCAGTTTAAAGCCCTCGCATTGGTCTGCAGGCTCTCTTTAACCAAGCTCCGTTTAAATCCCTCTTGGACTCTAAGTTTAAATCCTTCACTCTGATTGCAAGCTCCGTTTAACCCCTCACATTGGACTGCAAGCTCTCAGTTTAATCCCTCACTTTGGCCTGCAGGCTCTGTTTAAATCCCTCTCTCGGCTCTCAAATCGAATCCCTCACATTGGACTGCGAGCTCTCAGTTTAATCCCTCACGGAACTGCTTATATCTGGAACTGCTTATTTCTGGAACTGCTTATATATGGAACTGCTTATATCCGGAACTGCATATACCGTACTGCTTATATCGGAACTGCTTATATATGGAACTGCTTATATCCGGAACTGCATATACCGTACTGCTTATATCGGAACTGCTTATATATGGAACTGCTTATATCCGGAACTGCATATACCGTACTGCTTATATCGGAACTGCTCATACAGTATACGGAACTGCATATATATGGTACTGCTTATATCTGGACCTGCTTATATATGGAAGAAAAAAAATAATATATATCCCTTATTTAGGACTGCAGGCAATGTTTGAATCCCTCACACTGGACTTCAAGCTCTCAGTTTCAATACCTCACTTTGGACTGCAAGCTCTGTTTAAATCCCTCACATTGGACTGCAAGCTCTGTTTAGGTCCCTCGGCGTCTCGTGTCCCGCAACCTCTTCCCGGCTCTCCGCGAGCCCCAAGTCGTCACGCGGCTCGGGCGCGGGAGGTGTCCGTGGGCTACGCCATTGGCCCCTTCTCTCCGTCTCGCTCTAACCCGATGGGCATCACCACCCGCATGCACTCCAGGAAGAGGCGTCTCACATTCGTCCTCTCCTGTCCCCGCTCTGGGCCCGCCCCGAGCATCAATCAGCCCCTTCCCTCCAGCGCCCTTCTCCCTGCAGTCCGCTACCGTGGACCACGCGATCAGGCTGATGAAGACTTTCGGCCCCGGCTCCTGGCTCTCCAAGGCCGACATCCCGGACGCGTTCGGGCTGCTGCCCCTCCACCCCGACCACTGGCGCTGTTCAGGGGTCAAGTGGCGTCAGAGTCTTCTTCGCCGTGCGCCCCACCTTCGACTGCCGGAGTAGTCCCTCTCTGTTCAACAATCTCTCGGAGGCGCCGTGTCGGATTCTGCTCAATTGCGCGCGGCTCCCCTCTGTCCCGCATCCCGCCGATGATTCCCTAGTCGACCCACCCTCAGACTGCTCCGGGGGCTCTCTCCGCAAGCTCAAGCTCGCCTTCTCTGCCCTCGGAGTCCTTCTCTCCAAGGGGAAGACCACCGGCCCCGCCACCGCGCTGGAGTTTCTCGGCGTCCGCCTCGACAACGCGCCCTGGAGGCCTCCCTCCCGCTGGACAAGCTCGAGCGCATCCGCGCCTTCTCCCGGTCTGCTTGTCCTCCCCGTCACTTTCGAAGCTTCAGCTGCTCTCCCTCCTCGGGCATCTAATTATGCCATCTGTATCATTCCTCAAGGTCGTTCTTTTATTTCCAGACTCCTCTCCCTCGCTGGCTCCGTCTCCTCCCTCAATGATGCTGTCTGCCTGGACGCGGGGTGCCGCTCCGACCTGGCGTTCTGGTCCCGTCTGCTGAGCCGCTGGGATGGTGTATATATATATTTCTTTTTTACAGTGACGTCATCTTGTCCTCAGATGCCCTGCGGTTCTTCACGGACGCAGCCCCAGGACCAGCGGTTCGCCTTTCCTTCAAAGCATCTCCTCCACGCTACACGAGATATATCCCGTGACCGTAGCCTGCGTGCTGCGGAGCCATACGTGGCATAGGAAAAGGAAAAGGATTTCTGTGATGTGCGACAACCTCGACGTGGTTGAAATAATTAACAGAGGTCGTTCATCCTCTCCCCAAATCATGTCTTTCTTAGACTCATCACATGGCCTCAGTCCTGAACAATTTTATCATCATTGCTCGTCACGTCCCTGGTCACCTTAACTGTCTTGCTGACTCTCTCTCTCGCTTTAAATTCCAGGAGTTCCGACGCCTTTGCCCTTCTGCCAATTCATCGCCATGCCAGATCCCCTGCATGGAATCCCTCGCCCTGGCCTAGTCCCTCCGTCTCTTCACCTTCTCTCCTCCGCTGCATCCTACACAAAAATGGGCTCTTATGCATAAGCGAATTCACAAACTCTCACGCCACCTTTAATGCATCCCGAGACATTGCCTTCTCTGACCTTTCATATTATCCCGACTACTTCAACCTCCACCTCAAGCATTCCAAACGCAAAGGCGCTTGCAACATAGTCATAGCTCGTTCTGACACTTCTCCCTGTCCCTACAGATCCACGATGCATTACACTCGCCTCCGCTCTCGGAAAGGAGATCTCAACCGCTATTCCTCACTTCCGATAACCTCCCCATGACATCCAACTGGTTCAGAGCCCAACTCAAGTCTGTACTGCTGCTTCGTAACTTGTCCCCTCATCTCTACACAGCTCACTCTTTTCGGATAGGCGCTGCCACGCGCGCCGCTTCCCTGGGTCTCCCCATTCTGCCCCTCAGCAGCTGGGCCGCTGGTCATCATCGGCCCTCTCCTCATACATCAGGCCTGACACTTCGACTATCCTGGCAGCCCAGCGTCTCTTGGCATCTCCATAAAACACTCGCAAACTTCCTGGTGGCGGCAGCAGCTGAGCATATATATAGTATATAGCGGTCACAGTATATAGCGGTCACAGTATATAGCGGTCCCAGTATATAGCGGTCACAGTATATAGCGGTCACAGTATACAGCGGTCACAGTATACAGCGGTCACAGTATACAGCGGTCACAGTATATAGCGGTCACGACGTCTGTCCCCTGCATACCAGGCCTGCAAAACTCCATCAACGCACAGCCTTTTGGGGATTGTGCGCGCACTCTCGCAGGAGCCTCGCTGACTGAACGCCGCACCGGGGCCTAGGGCGCCAAACTACCTCTCAATAAAATAATTCAAAGGCATTCTTGTTTCCTCGTCTCTCCAGATTGAATTGACAGAGATTGTGTGCGTGTGTGTGTGTGTCTGTCTGTGTCTGTATGTGTGTGTGTGCGTGTGTGTGTGTGTGTGCATAAATGTGTGTGCATGTCCAATCGACTAAGTTACTTCATCTGGTCCCATGTTGTGGTTCGAAGTTATGCACACGAGCTTTAACTGGACCTGTTTCTGTGTTACAGTATATGTGTTGTTCAAACACAAACATCTGAATTTTTTTTTTTTTCACAATCTGTAGTTTTGATATATAAGTGTGAATGTCTCCCTCTCTCTTCGGTTACAGTGGGCGAGTGGAGCCGCGACGGCGTCTCTACAGCGCTGTTCCCGGTCGCCATTTTGTGTGTGCACGAACTTACAGTGCCCAAAGCGAGGGAGAGGTCAGCCTGCACAAGGGGGACCGCGTTAAAGGTGAGAAGTTACCAGAGGGCTCTCTCTGGTCTCTCTCTGGTCTCTCTCTCTGGTCACTTTCTCGTGTGTCTCTCTCTGGTCTCTCACTGGTCTCTCTGTCTCTGGTCTTTATCTAGTCACTCTCTGGTCCCTTCTGGTCTCTATCTGGTTTCTATCTCTGGTCTCTCTCTCTGGTCACTCTCTGGTGTGTCTCTCTCTGGTCACTCTGTCTGGTCTCTCTATCTCTGGTCACTCAGTCTAGTCTCTCTGTCTCTGGTCTCTCTCGCTCTCTCGCTCTCTGGTCTATCTGCTCTTTCTCCAGTCTCTTTCACGCAAAACATTAATGATACTTTTTCCAAAAATTGGAACGCAATAATAGTTTAAAGCCTAGTGTATACTTGCGCGGCGCGGCTTACGTTAGCGGTTGCGGTGGACCTACGCAAGCATATTTGTGTTTATAATCCTTGCGGAGTTTTGAGGAGAATTGTGTAATTCCAAAACCAACCACATGATGGCGATCTCACAGGAGTTGCATGAGAAACAAAAGCGGTCTCATTTACGCTGCTTCTTTCTCCTCTTCAGAACAAAAACATGAACAAACCAAGCTGTTTGAGCCCAGTACATGTGTTTCTACTGTAGGTTTATGCGATAGTTCTTTGGACTCATTATTTCTTAACTCATTTAACTGTGATGTTGTGAATAAAGACACAGTTCTTGTCGGAAACATAGATATTATTAAATTGTATTCACCACAAACAGCAAAACAATAAGTGGTAAATATCTGAGGCAAACATGAACAATTTATAAGAAACGACTGCACAGTTTATAAGTTATATATATGTTAGATAGTCCACAGTCTCCGCGTATATCAGGCTCTGAGCCCAAACTGCTTTTCCTTTGTTTCCTTCGAAGCACAAAGCAGTGTGCTTCATAGTGCCTCGTCCATTGTCCCTGCTGCAGCCGCTTCATGCTTCCACCCAAAACACACACACGGACCGATCACAGCGGAGCTTCCTTGCGGCGACCCTTTTGTAGTTAGAAAATGTTGATGCTGCGCGGCAGGCAACATAAGGGCCTTGCGGTGACCAACGCGTTGCGCAAGTGACGTCTCGTCACCTCTGCGACGCGCGAGTATACACTAGGCTTTACCCTTTCGCTTCTGACCTGGTTGAGTCTTGGATCATTCCTGATCCAGGCCTGGTACTATCCGGTCTCCATCTCCCTCTCTCTCTGTTGCAGTGCTGAGTGTGGGGGAAGGGGGCTTCTGGGAGGGCAGTGCCCGAGGGCAGGTGGGCTGGTTCCCCTCAGACTGTGTGGAGGAGATCCCAGTTAAGGAGGACCGGAGCTGTGAGTACACAACATATGCTAACATCATCTTCTTTGTAAGAAAGTGCCCGGTGAGTCACTATTGGACTCTTTGGGCTGAGAGCTGATTGGCTGAGTGAGGGTGGTGCTCTCTTTTTCACTGTTCTGTCGGAAAAAGAGAGCACCACCCTCACAGGCCAAAAATACCTGATGTGAAGCAGTGATAGAAACAAACTGTTTAAGAGCCAGGAACTAAAAAGATGTGATATGAAAAGGTTTAGGCACCCCTATTATCTTCATGATTTCCCTTTATAAATCTTTGGTTGATTGGATAACAGATTTCAGTTAAATATATCACATAGGAGACAAACAGTGATATTTGAGAAGTGAAATAAAATGTGTATCATTTACAGAAAGTGTGCAAGAATTATTTAAACAAATTGAGCATGTGCATAGATTTAGGCACCACAAAAGAAAAACCAACTCAACATTTTTACATCCTCCTTTGCAGAACTAACAGCCTCTAAACGTTTCCGATAACTTCCGATTAGAGTCTGGATTCTGGTGGAAGGTATTTTGGACCATTCATCTCTAGTTCAGTCAGGTTTGATGGGTTCCAAGCATGGACAAGCCTGTATTAAATCACACCACAACTTTTAAATAATATTCAGGTCTGGGGACTGCGATGGTCATTTCAAAACGTTGTACTTGTTCTTCTGCATCAATGCCTTTGTAGATTTTGGTGATTTTTGGTGATTTTGGAATTTTGTCTTGGTGAAAGATCCAGCTCTGGCGCAACTTAAACTTTGTCACTGATTCCTGGATATTGTTCTCCAGAATCTGCTGATATGGAGTAGAATCCATGTGCCCCTCAACTTTAACAAGATTTCTAATGACTGCAGTGGACACACAGCCCCACAGCATGATAAAACCACCATAAAATTTGAATGCAGGTAGCATGTGATTTTCTTAGATTGCTAACTGCTAAATGTAAACCCAATCAATGGGGGCCCACCTTTTTCCGGGGAACTCGGATTTGGAGGTGTTGATTTTCATCCCAGCTCCACTTAACAATCGCAAACCCTCCCAGTGCCTGCTGAAGGTCCTGGTTCGTTGGAGCCAACAGGACAGCATGGTCCACAAACAGTAGGGATGAAATCCTGTGGACACCAAACTGGACTCCCTCTTGAGCCCAAAATTCTGTCCATAAAAACAAAACCACTGACAAAGGGCAGACTTGGCAGAGGCCAACATGCAAAGGGAACAGGTCTGATTTACTGCTGACGATGCGAGCGCAGCTCTAACTCTAGCTCTAACATATTTAGCACTCAGCAGAGGATCCTGGACCCTGTGTTAGGATTTAAGCAGACAGAGACGGATCGTGGTGCGCCAAACTCTGGAAGTTTATTTAAGTTTCTCTCAAGTTCCACTGGTTTACTCTGTTTCTTTCTCTCAGACAGAATAAAGGCAGTACACAGTTTATATAGTCATTGTCACGTCCCACATCGAAAGACATACGTGTCACAAAGAGACAGTCACATCATAGTCATAACATGGAGTCCTTGTAGAGTCCTTGTACAGTCCTGCACGTAGGCCATATTGCTATCTAATACTAACACCCTCCCCTTTGATCACATAATCACATGTGATCATTCAATTTGATCAATCAATAAAGTGGAAAAAGAAGAAAAAAAAAAAAATCCTAAAAAAAACTTTAAAAAATTATTAAAAACAAAGAAAATGTATGCATTAAACTCATAATCATCAAATCAATATCAGTGGATTTTATCCTCTATCCTGGGAAAAAAAACAAACAAAAAACAAATCAAAAATAAAAACAAACAAACACTATTGGACACACAAGAACTCAGCAAATTCAGTCAAAACACAGACAAAAACGAGCTGAGTCTCAAATTAGAAGCTAATTTCACTTTTATTACTCTATACTTTTATTCTAATGCTAATTGTTTACACTTCACTTATTTCACTTTATTATTTTCACTTATCAATCTTAGACTGTGTACTTTACTTTCACTATTCACTATAGTTTAAAACTATTCTAATCTATTCACAAATATGTTTGCATATTTGCTTCTATTGAGCCATATTCTTAAACATATATTTTAATCTAATAAATCTCTCTATTCTGTGGTATACTTTCATTATCAGTGGCTTATTATCAGTGGGATTTTGCTCCATGTCTATTCTCATTCTCAGGAATAAAACTGTGAACACAGTAAGGCAAACGGTCAACATTTACACTTCTATAGTGGTCAGTGATTTATTACTTTTTATTATCTAAAGATATTATTGTCAGGCATTTGGGATGAATGAACATCTTTAATCAAATTAGTATTATCCTTACAAGAGCTAATCTGTTTTAGCAGGTTTGGGGTTGGGGTCAGTTATTCTACAATGGTGTTTGATTCTCTAATCTGTGCTGATAAATCAACAACTTTTAAACTTCTCAAAGATATCTAAATATCTACTATTTTGTTTTTGTGCTATACACAAATACATCAACATGCTTTTAAATGCTTTTGAATCTCTGTTGGTGCTAATCTATCTCATTGATCTAGGCATTAATCTAGGCTACACTCATATGGACTTTTTGCATAGTCAACATTCACTCATGTTTGAACACAAGTGAATTTGGCAGTATCTAATAAAACTGTACATAAAACTGTAAGTAACTTTATCTACTTTTGAAGTAAATGCTTGTGAAATGGTCCCTTTACCATTTGATATTAGCACTGGCTACAAATAATCTCTATTTTTGAAAGCATCTATGGTTGATGCGTTTATCTATTCCTATTTCTACACTATTGTTTAACTCTAAAGTTTGGCTGCAGTTTGAGCAAAGGCATATTCCTAATTTGTAACTTCTGTCACTTTTAATGGCTGTAACATAATTCTGATTCTAATATTCTAGCTGATCTATCAAAAGGATAACATTGTAGGGTACTATTTTAACTCTTACGTGGAAATATGTTTATGAACAACAAAGGAAGGACAATTCTACTTTTTTACTACTATTTAACATCTACTAAAACGCTACAATACTCATACTTTATCATTTTAAAACATTTTAACAGTTGCTCAGTCTCCCAGACAAAAAAGTCAAAGTTTTTGTCTGTCAGATGTCTGAATACTTAACATGTATATTGCATTTGGTCACAGGTTCTGGTTGTAGCAATAGCATCGGCAATAGACGTTTTCATTGGCTGGTTCTTATTCTGCAAATGGCTGTGTCCAATAGATCATCAGATGTCCAGAAGCTAGGGACAAACAAAAACAAAAGAAAGAATCATGAGTATCTGTCTCATTTAGCACTCATCAATGTATGATTTCAATAATATAAACATCACTCCCCAGTTTTTTCTCTCCAGGGTCCTCAGATCCTCAGGTCCTCAGGTCCCCTGAGGGTGAGTCTCAGTCGTCATCAGGTCAGGTCATATTTCGAGAGATGTCATCTTGGACATCAGTAGGGTCCAAGCCATGGTTTTGGTCTCCAGATGCACATCAGGATCTCCAGATACAGTCTTTTCACTTGAAGCACATCAGGTCATTTGCGATGCACTTCTGGTCAATGGTGCAGTGTCACAGTTCCTGTACACAGCTTGTTATGCAGTAGTTACTTTCTATGGTTAAGTCACTTTGATTCTACTGTAAAGACAATTTCTATTCATGCTGTTGCTTCTGTCCCTCAGACAAAAGCAAGCGCAGTTTACTTCTCTAATTTGTGTTTTTATCAGATCTAATCCTCATCAATGTAATTACTTCACACAATACAAAATCAACAAATCAAAAGTGTCAGGACAGAGGTCAATTAGTCCATGACAATATAGAATTCAAATGAACATTTCTGGTCTCAAAAAATACTGATTCAACTAAAGATTCAAGTGATAGACAATTAAAAATATGTGTTTACATTGGAGTAAACTTTTAAAATGCTTTTTTCTCATGTTCTGCTTTTTCATGTATCTATATGTAAATGTGAATGTGTGAGTGTATGAATGTGTGTATGTGTGTGTGTGTGTGTGTGTGTGTGTAGGGTGTCAATTTTGGGGTTGTGTCTCCAGACTCCTCGAACCACCTGCAGGTCTCAAAGGTCACACTGTGGTGATGTAAACAAGCAAAGTGGACACACTTCCAGATTGCAAAACAACTCACCCACCACTGCCTCCAGAAACCTCTCTTTGTGGCCCCGGTCTCACTGCCACTACGACCATCGGTCTGTAGTGGGGGAGGGGCACAGGAGGGTAGGCATTAGCCTTTGCTCTTGATCGTGACCTGTGATCCACTCCAGCAGTCCAGTGACCCTGTACAGTGTGTGCCCTTGGTTCTGGAAAACAACCTTATAGTCAAATTAAAAACAACAGAGATTGTGAATGAGATTGTTTTTCTCCCTAAAGTCAAAACAATTTTGGAGCGCTCTGGGTTTTCCCACATGCGCTATGTAAATAAAGATTACTTATTATCTTACTAATGATGACATTTTAAGACCAGAAACTCTTTTAATAAAAAACAAGACTCAAATCTCCTGAACCTTCAAACTTTAAAATATGTATTATGTACTTTTGTACTGTGTGATTAATTATCTATGAACATTTATCTCAGCATATATTCTACTAATTTAAAATAATTGCAGCATTTTTCAAATGAAGTCAGTATGAATTGGAGCACATTTTAGACCAGGCTCCTGTGCTGCGTGCATCTGCAGCAGTAAGGTCAGGCGTGTAGTCAAAACAAAAACAAAAGGTCACCACTTGCAATGGGTGAATTGGGTAGTTTAACTTAATAATACTTTTACAGCCTAATTCCCTCTTTCTTTTTTAGACGAAGTCTATAATCAATAATCACTTTTAACACAGATTCTAATTTAAATGTTTGAAAAACGGCTTTTGTAACTAAAATAAAAACATACATGAAAAAATTCTCACAAACAGCTATGAAATATCAGATACAATAATGGACTCAAAAAATAAGCAGCAGATTTAAAAGAATGGAATCTAGAAATATGTTAGGTCTAAAAAGAATTG